AAAAAAAAAAAAAAAACATTTAGTTTTATAGGAACATCATGACCATTGCTTTTCAGCATTTTGGCTAAGATCAAGTGTAGGAACATCATGACCTGACTTACAGTCCTCCAAAGTTAACTGACCAAAACCAAGGAAGTTTTACAACCTACTCCAAACATTGCTGACTTCCAGATGTCTGTGGTCCTTGGTTACCACTTACAACTTCTCCCTTCCCTTAACAGAAGAAAGACCCCAGAGTTAATGCTAACTTAAGATGATTCTTTAGGACATTAGCCTACCATCTTCTCTGTTTGCTGACTTCCTGAATAAACGTCAGTTTCCTTCCCCCCTCAAACCATTATCTTCTATGAAACTTGCTCCAATCTGTTCCCTTAAAGGATGCTGGATTCTTTCTTGCTAGAGTGTCTCTGAGAGCTGTGCCTGCCCCTGCATTGTGGGGTGGACAGATAGGTCCTGGAGCCTCCTATCCATTGAGAGACTGCTGGAGTGATGGGAGGAACACTGAGCACCTGGGACCACACTCCCAGGAACGTTGGGGGCTTACCCCAGCACCCTGGGCCCCTGATGTCCCTGTTGAATGGTGTGACTGCATTGAGCTCACAGCAGTGTAGAGTGCTAGTGAGCAGGGGTCAGCACATCTACTGCAGAGTGTGGCTCACTGGGACAGGCCATGCAGAGCTAAATTATTCTCCTCTGGAAACAGGCATCTTCCCCTTCCACTGGGAGGGCTCAGGGCCACAGTGGCCAGGCTCATCCCCTTTTCTAGTTGGGCAGCAAAGACACTAGCTCATGGGAACCTGATCTAAAAGGGCAGATGGGCCAGCTGTGGTGCTGAATGGACAGCTCCCTCATGTTGGTCCTCCGTGGCAATTGTAGCCCCAGAGTGCGTGCCTGGTAAGGGCTTGGTTTCATCTTGGGGTGATTACCTTAACACCAGAGAGGACAGAGAAGGGTCTGAGGGTGTATCACCCAAGTTTACAGTCCAAGAAAGTGCTGCTCACAGGGGCTTCGTGGCTTTCTGGTCCTAGTTAAGAGTGTGGTGGTTAATCTTTCCAACCTGAGCCAGCAAGTAGAGGGAATAAGATGGGGAGGTGGAAGAAGGTGGGGGCAGAGGAAGATGAGAGTCATAAAGATACACTCAGAAGGAAGGAGAGGGCTTGGCGCCTATAGCTCAACCGGCTAAGGCGCCAGCCATGTACACCTAAGGTGGCGGGTTCGAATGCCCAGCCCGGACCCACCAAAACAACAATGACGGCTGCAACCAAAAAATAGGGGGGCGTTGTGGCGGGCGCCTGTGGTCCCAGC